TGCTCCCAGCCCTGCACCGCGTCTGCCTATTCCATGGAAGCTGTTGCATTCTTAAAGCATTTTTTTTCCATTTCATTTCCTGCCCAGTATTAATCAGTGTTAGAGCGAAATGACAGGAAAGTGACCTTGCTATGTTCCCACTTTGAAAATATAGTTTGTTTTTTTTCACGAGAAAATCAACAATATTTGTGCAATCTAACATGATGGCAGTGCTGATCAATGTTGCTTTGTTGCCTAGAGTCGGGCCATTATTCAGGTTTTTCGTTTGTAAATACATTCAGCATTTTTTATGACACGCGAGACATGTTATCAATCACCTTAATACCACCATGCATCATGGGCTACAGACGGGCACAGCGCTGTGCTTCTGAATTGGATAGGTCAAGTCCAATCAGGCGGGGTTGGGGGGGAGGTCATCCCTATTCATAAGCAGGGTCAGATCCCAGCCGCCTGGCTCTGATGGTCACGCGACTCTTCGCATCCTCGTCTACGAGTTGCTTTTCACAAATAGACCTTTGCCAAAGGAGGCGGGGCGTGAGTGGCAAATTGATTGAAGTCGGGACTGAACGCAAATAAACCCCGCTGAACCGGGCATGCTTTCCCTGCACGCAAAGTCACCCTCGGTTCTCGCTATGAAATATTCACGTTGCAGAAACATTCTTAGGCAGACTTTTATCCATAAGGTCAAATGGTCTCCCATGCTCAAATGCGTGCAAGTGTGGCACCCTATCTCAATTGGTGGCCCCCGACCAAGCTCGCGGTGGCAATTCCTCGTTCCCATGGCCGGCTGGGGGGGGGGTGCATTCTTTCAACAGGATGACCACAGGTTAACTCCTCTCCCATTCTGAGATGCCTGCAAGTGTCCCGTTCACCACTGAATCTCGGAACAAGCAAGTGGCTCGGCGTAGATTTTATTTAGAGGCATAGCGCTGTTATTATTAAAAACCTTGTCCGCCCCGCAGATAACTGTAGCGAAACGACCACACTCTACGATATCTGGAGCCAAACTGTGCCACGCGCCCTCCTGTATGGCCTTGTGGGAGCCTCGGTACCCATAAAGTAATTTTTTTTCTTCTGATTCTCTTCCGATGACATGCGTCGTCACACGTCATCTGAATGGAATCGGAAGAAAAAAACCGAAGTACGAGTACGTACACGTACGTCGTCGGAATGGCGAAGGGTTAAACGTGTGCCGTCCAAAGCAATGCTCGTTTTAACGACAACCGGCGAGTCCGAGTGCTGCACCAGCAATGCTGCCTGGCCCTGAGAGAGAGAGAGCGAGCCCTTGAGGTGGCAGCGGTGGCAGCGGTGGCGGCAGCATCGTACACGTCGACCGTAAAGATGGGCCTTGCTAATGGTGATGACTCGTGCGTCCCCGGCGTTCTCCCCTGTAATGTTGATGGATGTCTCTGCACGGCTTTGTTGATCGTGCACAAGTGTGCACAACTCATGTTGTGCCTGTGTACAGACGCGGAGATTGCGTCCACGGCAATCACACCATCTGGCCTCCCGCGCATTGTGTTTATTGCCTCTTATCTAGGAGTGATCCCCGCTGAAATTCAGATGTCGGCTGTAATGGGTTTTATGCAAATTGCGTGGCGCTACGCTACCTGTGAAGGAGGACGATGTAATCATCTTACTAGGAAGGCGCTGCTATTAAAAAGCGCAAGTGAAGGTTAACATAAATGCTTAGAATTGAAACTCCTGGGGATAATTAATTAATTGTATGGCATATAGAGGTACTGTATTCCAATGCGTCGTCTGTGCAACGAATGCTTGCTTTTCCACTCAATTAAAAGTATGTTTACTTCGAAGACCAGTGTATAATATCGGTGTACTTGCTGCTATCCATTTGCTAATAAATTGGAATGTTCATATTGAATACATTTGTAAGTGTCTTGTAATGAATAACGATGACATATTTCCTACCCCTATTTTAACACGGGGAGGTCTCTCCTCCCAGTGCAGTCATTCGAATTCAATCTCCGACTTTGTTTCGAACTTGAAGATTTTTTTATAAAAAAAAAGCACCGATGTTTTAGTTGGTAAGACATTTCCCAACATCATCCAATTGTAATGGCATGTGTTGGCAAGGATTTGCATTAAAACGAAAACAAAGTGTTTAATTTAGATGTTAATGTTTAACACCTTCGCAGATCAATAATTAGGATATAGCGTTAAATGTGCTCACTAAGGTAAATTTGAAATGTTGTAAGATGATTTCATTTTGAGGATTTTTTCGAGAATATACTGCAACTATGCGTCAATACCTTTTTCTCAGAGTTTTTAATTGCTATTTATGCGATAACATGTAATTAAAGGCTGAGAAACCTTGCAAATGGCAGGTATTTGCTCATTTCAAATATATCTGTGTAATTCATATTCCTCACTTTTATAATAAGCAATGCATCTCGTACCAACTAATTAACTTTTTCGCCGCACCAAGCAACTTGAACGATTTTATAATTTTAATGCTTCCCAATTTCTGAAAAAAATTACTACAGCCTCATTCATAATGCAGTATACATGAATTGATTTTTTTTTTTACAAAAAAGTCAATTTATTGGCATCCTTAGATTTGTGCCTGGGCAGCTACCCCATGATTAAAAGCCATAATCTCAAGTGTAGCAAGTCGATGGTCCTCAACCTGGTGACCAGTGGCTGTACAGAAATCATTGCGTGACATCTCGTTTCGCATTGGATATGGCCACAGTCCAGTTCTGAGCAAAACTAACAAAATATCGACGTGACTGTCATGTGACTAACATTCTCTTCGCGGAGCCGGTTGGATGGTGCACCCTCTTGCTATGTAGAGGGTAAAAACATGAAGAATGTAATTTGTAGCACGCACAATGTTTCACGGACATAATCGACCGTACCTCTAAAGCGAGGAACCCAATCTCAGGCAGGAGGTGAGCCCTTTAAGTGTTTCTTAGAAGTCACAGTGGATTGAATGCTGCTGCTTTTTATGTCTCTATTTTGAACTTAGCCAACCATGCTAATCTGAGGTGTGGGTGAAGGATAACAAACTAAACACAAACAGCAGTTCTAAAGTAACAAGTTTTCAGTCGAGATTTTAACGTGCATAGCTCCAGTGGCTTTCTAATATCGGAAGGAAGAGCGTTCCAGACGGCCGCAGAAGCGCATCTGAAAGCGTACAATGCGGTGACCACCTTTGTTCGATGGCTAGCCAAAAGCCGCTTGCTGGTTTATACTCCTTGACGATATCAGCAAGGTATTGTGGTTCGTTTGTGGCATGCACTTTGTGTGTAATGCTTGCGACCTCGTAATGTATTCGTTCGGCGACCGAAATCCATTGCAGCTATGAATGTTGAGCAGCACCAGTAGGATGATGATGATGGCCACGTTCCAGATGGCAGTGGCTGCCGCGGGGAAACGACGGCCGGCTGTGATGACGGCCGTCATTTCCGTGACCACGGCCCTGCTCCGGGGTGTAGAGACGAGCGTGTGAGTTGCGCTACGGAGAGTTGAAAGAGGCCAGTTGAATTATGTTTTCTCTATGGATAGTGCCGTGAAACCTCACTTCTGCGGGACCCATTCTAACCACGGCTTGCGCTGCGCTGCCGGGCGAGATTTAGAATCGAATTCTTTATCTCGTTACCAGACGCTGATTGCACGATTGTTATCAATTGGGAAACAATGAAAACATTAATTAAGGCGTAGATTATGTGGTTTTGTTTGGATATATACAAAACTAGAAGTATGCGTGCCAAGTTTAGAACCCACATTTTTCCAAGTTATATTTTTCAAAGGCATAAGAACCCCCCCCCCCCCCCCCCCGATTTTGGGGATGCTAGACATCATAATTATGGATTTTCCTTAGTTACATGGGTGGCAATGTTCTGAGTGATTCGCATGTCTTGTGTGCATCTTCCTGCACAGAATTTGAATATTTATTTATACTGGAGGAATCTGATGAGCTATAAAGCTCTTTCACAGATGTCCGATAGGGTCACGGGATCAGAACCTTACAACAACAAACAATTCAAAACACACAGGAGTGCAAAGTACAGGAAAGGTAAACAAATCACTTAAAAATATGCAAATAAAACTTAACAATTGTTTATCTTACCAGGTAAAGCCCACTGAGCTATTTGCTTCTTATCAGAAGCGACCTGGCCACAAATGATAGCTGAACGAAGTGGCTTATGTTGAAATTCATAGCAGCCAAATACTCTTAAACGCATGGCTCTAAATGTCGATGGAAAACACCTAAAGGACCTGGAGAAAAAATCCACGTAACCACGGGGAGAACATGCAAACTAGGTGTCAGGGTCGAGTTTGAACTCCAGACCTCCTGCATACCAGGCGAGGTAGTTAACATCTCGCCACCGTGGCACATCTACCACTGACTTGTGCCCGTGCGCGAGTACGGCCGTTCGTGAACGCACACCAACCCGCCGGAATGCATTTGCAGCCATGTCCACCGAGCAAGGGATTTGTTTCGAGCCGTTTAGCAGCATCGTCAGGTTGCCTGCGCTGCGTGCGAGCGCACAGACCGTTTAGCGCCATCCGTGTGCCGTGGGAATCCGGGGCAGCGAGAAGTGGCACCCGCGTCGACCGCCTCTTATATTTAGCCGTGTGAAGTCACCAGTGCACATGCTGGCTACCTGAGCTTATATATATATATATAAACCCACTCTTTCTGCCCCGCAGCCTTTCAGCCCGGGGAAAAAGCACTTGGCCGTGATTTCTTGCCACACGTCGTGTTGTTGGGCGCTGTGTTCGTAGGGCTCCAGCAGTGGGACAGATCGACCGCACTTGCAGACTCCGAACCTTGTCGAAGTGAGGTCAGCAACAACACAAGGGGGGGGAGGGGGGGGAGTTGAGTATTTTTTTTTGACGACCGCAGAAGTTCGTTTTGTGAGCGAGCAGCTCCGTTCGCGCAGGAACGGCTCTTTGAAAACCCATCTCCTTATCTCTCGCTGCCTGTGTAACCTTCACCGCCCCCCCCCCTCCTTTCTTCCTTTCTCTTTCAGCGCCACGAATGAACGCAGCTGCTCAGGACGCTCAGCGGGATTTTCTTCTTAACCCGGGGCGGAAATACTGGCGCACTGGAGTTCCTCTGAGCGCCGTGAGTACGAAGCAATTAGAGCAAAAACGCACAGCACGCGGTCCTCGGCAGGGCCGGCGTGCACGCGAGCACGGCCGCTGACGTACGCTCCTATCGATCCGTGCCCTCCTTCCTCTACTCGTGCGCACGCACGCACATGCTCTGCATGCACATGCATGCTGTAACGACAAAAACTAAACGCGCGCATTGCCGGCCAGTGAACACTGTTGATATTGCCGGAGTTTGACGTTTGGTGCGCGTGTTCATTTGAATGAAAGTTTTTTTCGCGCATTCGATAAATTGGCCTCCGATTTCAAAGTGTGCGGCCTTTTCACTAAAATGTCAACGACATTGAGTTGTAACGTCAAATAATTGGCGTCATTTCCTCCCGTCGGTCTCATTGGTACATCGTTCAGCGACGTCTTGCAGGGTATGCCCTGAGGATTTTTTCGCAGTTGGAAGCGTTGCCAACAACTGACACTCGGCACTTTGGCAAGGCGGGAGACAAAAGGATTCCGTCTTAATGTAATTGCATGGATACCGTTTTATGATGCAGCGCAATGAGTGAGCGAGTTTTGGACTGTGTCGATCCTCGTGAAAGAAATTTCCCAATTAGGGGAAAAAACTTGATGCATTGACCCAAAGCCTTTAATGCCAATAGCTTGATGTTGTTGTATGACAGTGTTTACATTCGGTTAAAACCAACAGCAAAGTGAGGGTCAATATCTTTCAATTGTGGGATGGTGCTCATTCGTACCCCCAAGAAAGGTCACCATCTGTGTGGCAGGGGCAAGGTTATCCTGAGCACGACGACTCCTGTCAGTGGGTTGGTCCGCGGGACGAACCGATTGGGATTTTGTATTTGCGACCTACACATAGGGTCAAGTCCCCCAGCCATAGCTCACCCAGCTGCATCGATCTTTAGTTGGCGGCATTTCTGATTCGCAGAGATGAGCTGTGCTTCTCGAACTGTCTCTCGTCAATGCTTCAGTGGCACAAAGGGCTCGTTGGGATCCTGGTGCACACGTGACCAGCGGTGCCCGGTGCCCAGCGAATTAACGTGATCTTATCTTCTTATCTTAAGGGAATGTATATGGCGCCTTAATCAGGCGCTTTACAAAAGGAATTGACAACGCTGCAACATATGAATGTAATGGCGGCGATGAGGTGGATGAAATAGATGAGAGGAAGCAATCTGTGGCGCGTGATTTCGGTGAAAGCGAAATTGAGGACGGTAGATTATGATGATGATGAATGGATTGAATGAATGGCAAATGAGTGAGCGAGAGCCATATAATGAGACTATGAAGAGGGAAGAGTATAACGGTGGTGGTTGAGGGGGAGATTAAGGGGGGTCGTGGGGTGAGCTAGAGAACAAGTGAGTTTTGAGTGAGGGGTGGAAACTAGTGAGTGAAGGTGACTTTAAGAAGCGAGAGAGAGAGAGAGCGTGATTGAGCGTGAGAAGGAGAAACGGACAGAGACGGCAAATTATTGGGCGGTGCGCGGTAGTTTGCTCGCGATCCACTCGCGGCTTTGGCTGACAAATGTGAGGTCGCAGTGCTCTTGAAAGTATGGGCTAAGCTCGTCTATAACTCCGCAAGTGGACTCGTGAAGGTTGAAACCTGTTGTGCGTGCACGGTGTCGGCATCTCGTGTATAAATAATTATAATCCCCGCATCACTTACCCCGTCGTGAATTGCATCGATTCGGTCAAATCGGCCTGTCGTTCATTGACCGTCCTACAACCTCGTGTGGTATTTTTTGTTTCTGTATTTTTTTGTCTCGTGTATTACTATTGTTCTTTGATTCTTGTGTACATGGGGAGCTTTCAGCGGTCTACTGCGAAGTGAAACCACCGGAGCTGTGCGCCTTGAAATCTAGATTGAAAACGGATTTCTTTAGAGCTGCTTTTTGTGTTTAGTTTGTGCTTCCACCGCACCTCCGAGTCGCTCTGTTGGCTACGTACGGTGCGAAAGAAGTTATACACACATACATACATTTGTGGGGCTAAATTTATGCATTCATTTTGTGAAGGTTCACAGACATCTGATAAATGTATTCCAAATGCATAAGTGAGTGAAGCCAAGCTGTGGCCAAGTTGAGGGTGCTTGTGAACACGAACGCCACCGTCCAGCAAGATGAATGTTTGTCTGACAGAGAATTCAATGTCATCGTCGTCGCCGTCACTATACTCGGCAACGATCAATCCACTGCTAGATGAAGGCCCCTTCAAATTGTCGGCATCTCTTATTACGGTCCTGTGGTGCAACTGGACCTAGCACCTGCGCTCGAGCTGCTTTCATCGCTCCATCTCCGCAGCGGATGTCCTCTTGGGCACAAGTCCTCGCTTTGCTGCCACCGTCCTTGGTCTCGAACGCCGATCGTCGTCCCGTCCAGCCACCAAGTGTGCTGCCGAAGCCCGTTTACTTTTCTCAGTGCTCAAGAGTGTCTCTATTTACTAACTTTAAGATGAAGAATAACACTGTTGGGACGTACTGATTTTTGACATGTTTTCCAAATTAGTTTTTTTTAATCAAAAGCAATTCAGAAGTGTCAGAACTTGCCAGGATATTGCTCAAAACATCCGTCCGAGAGCTTTTCAGATGAGATATTGATCAGAACGGTCAAGTAGTTGTGCAGACTGAGATTCGTACAAAGATTAAAACTTCACCGTTACAGTACTTAATTGCTGTCATCATCATCATCCTGATTCTTGTCATCAATACATAATTTATCACAGCAGTTTCGCAGACGGATTGCAAATTGCGACAAGTAATTTCAACCATCGATTCAATTTAAAGTAATCAGTGCAATACAGCTAAGCTGTGTTCAATTCATTCGCTGTCCAACTCCCGTTTTTACTTTAATGTACCCTGTGGGATACATTTTTTAAAATGTTTCCAACGCAGATGGAAACTGTTGAGATATTAGCTCTGTCCATCTGCCTAAACCGTTCGGGGGGGGGGGGGGGGGGGGGGGGGACACGGTTACTCTTGTGAAGACGATCCAATAGGGAACAACTGCAGTGTAAATGTGTGTGTGTAGCTATCAGGGCCTCACCCTGCAGAAATCCGGCCACATTGATCAAAGGGTTGCAAGAAACATGGAGAGGAAAGCAGCACCACGAGGATCCGCCTTGCCGTTGACACATTCCCACGTTATTCGCGGTGAGGAATACGTTCTGGACATGCTTGTGGATTTAACACGGAGGCTTTCGTGACCAATATTATTCATAATATAGGTTTTTGGGTCAGATCGCGTTATTTATAAATGTGTCGTAACCCTCCACCACCCGACATGGCCAAACAGTAAAAAATGTGTCACGTTTTTCAAAGGACAAAATAATTCGCTTCTTTAGCCCACCGGTGTACTGAAGAGAGAATCGACAGCATTTTGAAATTTGAGTAGTACGACGTTTCGCTGATTATTACAATCAGCTTCATCGGGCAAGAATGAAGTCGCCCTGATGCTGCTCTATTTAAGACCGGAAGCAACAGGAGAGCTTCACCATTCTTGCCCGATGAAGCTGATTGTAATTATCAGCGAAATGTCGTGCTACTCACATTTCAAAATGCTGTTGATTCTCTCTTCAGCACACCGGTGGGCTAAAGAAGTGAATAATTTTGTCCTTTGAAAAATGTGACACATTTTTTACTGTTTGGCCGTGTCGGGTGGTGGAGGGTTATGACACATTTATAAATAACGCGATCTAACCCAAAAACCTATATTATGAATGCTTGTGAATAGCAAATTTCGCGGATTATGATATTGGCCTAGGAAAACTATCAAATACATGAAAATTACATATCACTTCATCTCATATCAATGTCTCGCATCACTTTATCTCTCATCACTTTACGTTCTCCATGCAGTGGTGGTGTATAGTTCCGCATGCTGTTCGCGGGGAGCCAAAATTGCGGCTCGCAGGTTCGTGAATATCAGGGAATACTGCGCTGTGCATGCCTCGTCATCGTGCGGGATGCCTCGTGACGTCCCACTTCAGTCCTCCCTTCCCCGCGTTCCCGACGATGTCGTTACGTGCAATGTTCACACGCTCGCGCGCGCTGTTTGACATCTCATTGCGCAGTCATCGGTCCGAATTAAATACTCCATAGGACGTAATGCGTGCTATAAATTGTTACAGATTGATTGCACGGGCGTGATATTGTATCCTATGTTTTTAATTTTGTGTGGGGCTAATTGGTCCTTGACCTTTGCACACCACGGAATGCTTCCTGTGGCGAAGGAGGGGGGGTTGTGCTGTTCCAAGCAAGCACAACAATCGGCTGAGCCCATCCCCCTTCAGAGGATGAAGCACCCTTTGATTTGGTGCCTGTTTTGCATGACCGAGGGGCACCCCAAGCACGTGTTGTTGTTGACCTTTTGTTTGTTGTTGATTTTTCGTTCCCATGCTGCACCCCTGGGGAGTCTAGACAAAACGTGTTCATTTGCCCTGTTAATGTCTCTTACATTCCGTGATTCATAAGGAAGATTTTTGTTTTAATTCCACGCAGTTTAAGCGTTTAATCACGCCGACGTTGGCAGTGCGCGTCTTACGCGAGTATCGTTGCTGTTGCTCTCCGTTTATTGTTGCGTTGTTATTGCAATTAAAATTACATTAGTTCACACTTGGGCTGATAAATACAAATCACACAGTGCGCAGAAAGTTCATTTTCAGTACGTATATCGGGGAATGGTGAATGTGGTTTTTAGTGGGAAGCAACAATTAAACTTGTGGTCAAACAACACACATACCAATCGGCCCTGACCAGCATGGTGAAGTATGGTCAAACAACCCCATCCACATGCCGTGACTGATACATTTACTGCCCATAGTAAAATCAATGCCCGGATAAAATTCTGTCCAAGTGTGGGTTGTTTGACCATACTTCACCTCGCTGGTCAGTGGGGATTGGTGAAGGCCTGGCTGTGGCCATACTGGGTTCTATTGTAAACTAGCCTTTTGCCCATCCGAGCACGGAAGCTGTAATATTAACGAAAATTGTATCTTGTGTAAAAAAATTAATGGCAGTGAATCTTGCACGAAAGTATGTCATCAAACACTTCACTGCATTTGACTGTAGCACTGTATTAATGGCAGTGAATCCAGCACAAAACGAAGTACTAAAACACTTCACTGCAGTTCACTGTAGCACTGTATATAACTGACCTTCAATTTGTTCAAATTCACTGCTCTGATACTTTATTCTCGGTCGCTGGGGTTGAAATAATTTGGAATTCGATACAATATCTGGAAAATCACAGAGAAATGTCTATTTTACCATAACGTAGAAGCATAAATTAGACTTACCTTTTGGCTCAAGTGCTGAAGAAATAAATAAAGACACTAAATCCACTTTGTTGCTGCGTAGAATTGTTTATTAGATTCACTTTCAATAAAGAAACGTCAAACTTAAAGCGAATTTGCGAGAAAGAAATTACCGCTCGACCTTCTACGTGAGTGTAAAAATCCACCCGCTCATGAATATTAATGACGGGGGGGAGGGGGAGGTGTGCCATGTGTAGTGACGTCACGCGCGTTACACACAAACAGACATTCTTGGCTCATCAAAGTAGCAATTGCCAGTAATGCAAGATGTAGCCAGAAACTGAACTCAGGCTACCGGGTTCATAGGGCAGTGGACGTACGACTGCGCCACTGGCACCCCATCATATTGGAATATAAAATCATACTCATAAAATGTATTTTAAATCACTAATTTTATGTTCAAACATATACATGCATATACATGCTAATTTGTGTGCATTTAGAATGTTTTTTTTCTCCTTAATACCATGCACTTTTATCAAGAATTCAATTGGGAGTGAGAATATATACGTGCATTACTAGGCAAACACTAATATCGGTATTGTTTAAGTTTTGGATGACATTTCCAAGACCCATGCAGGAGCCTCTGTTCCCTTGTGTTGTTTTTTTGTCCCCATCTACCTTTGCACAGGATCACTTGATGCGTAACCCGCTCCCCGCTCTCACGCCCGGGCATCTTTATTACGGCAATGCACAGCAGCGCGATCTGCAGCTGGGGGGCCAGCCGCTCGCCATGAAGCTTAACCTCCAACCTTGAAGCAGCGCCACGGGCCACGCTGCCCCCCTCTCTTCCCCCCGGCTCTCGTGCGGCGAGCTATCAAGAGCGCCAGCGCCTACGTCTCTTCCACTCGGGTGAGCTGGCGCTGCCGTCGTTGCACCTCGCCGCGGCGTTGACGAGCTCGGTGGATTTTACCCCGCGCCGGGTCGGTAGATTGAACCGCGGGGTTGCGAGGTAATGTTTCGGAAGCGTGCTCCGAACGGAGGGACGCCGCGGGTTGGCGATTCGGAGCCCGTGGTACGTGGGGTGTGCAGGAATGGGAAAAAATGATGGTCAGACAAATCAAATGGAGCCGTCGCTGAGATGTAGTTTTGCTCGTTAACCTCGGTATCTCCCCTTCTCTGAATGCATGCGGAAATATAGTTGTAATGGTGTACATTGGCAGCTGCAACCGGTTTTCATTTTTTATTTCTTTATATGCCACAGCAAACTGTTCTTGAACCTGCATCCATCATTAGACACGCTTATTCGCTTGCGAGCACTTGATAATAGACACATGCAGCAGGCATTTAAGTCCAATCGTATTCATTTTCCCTTCTGTTGCTCGGGAAAATGTAAGCACAGATGGCGGTAGAGGAAATAAAAACGGTGCCGTACGAGAAACGGTTAAACCCGCGTTAGTCCTGGGGCAGCCGTGTCACATGCGTTCTGTCCGACGTTAATTAAACGTGCCTCGGAGCCACCGTTTCATTGGGGGCAAATTGGACGATGTTGTTTTCGTCTCGGCTAGCAGTGCTGGGGCCATACTCTCCCTCATTGGGGAAAAATGCGCAGATGGTGCTCATTCCCATTTCCCCGTCGCACGCTTGCTCGCGCGTGCAGAAGCATGAAAGAAAAAAAATTGGGGCGCGGCTCCGACGGATGAGTCGCGTTCACGCAGAGAATAGTGAGGGGGGCTGCCTTCGAAAACCCTTTCCGTGACGATGCCTTCGGCAAAAGGCTCAATTGCGAGACCTCCCCGGCGGTCCCGGCGGACTGAAGGCGATTCGTATTCAACTCCGGCAACCGCTGGTAAAAAGGCGGCAGATATGGGGGAGGAGGACAGGCCCCCCCCCCCGCCCCCAGCAACCTCCACTCCCGCCACCTCCACCGACAAGTAAGCAAATAAATTCATAATGCTATAAATAAAAGGGGACAAAATTGCTTTGAACCATCTCGACTATGATAAAAAGCAATAATTTATATTTCGTCTCCGTGCTCACCATAAGCTTCAATTCTCTTAAGCCTCATTGCAGCTTGCCCATGATTCGACTTGCGAGATAAATCAGGCGGTGGCGGCTGGCAAATGCCACTGTTTGGGGCTTGTGGCTGGCCTCCCTGGCAAGGTGGAATGCTTCCGGCAGGCTTTCGAGATCACACTGCTGCCTGCTCGCACGTCCACAATGTTGGTGATCTTTTGCCAAAATCGGAAGCTATGTTTTTCTATTCATCATTGAAGGCAACTAAATCCCCACAACTAATATTTTATTCGGATTGATATGTCCCGTAAGTTTCGATTTAAAGCTTTCGTGACTGCAGGGATTCATCTTCTTGGTTCTTTCGGTAAAGTCACGTAGAAGGGAAGTAATAAAATAATAAAAATAAAACATAATAAAATAATTCTCACTATTTTATTATTTTATTATGTTTTATTTTTATTATTTTATTACTTCCCTTCTACGTGACTTTACCGAAAGAACCAAGAAGATGTCCCGTAAGCTTAATTTGGTATTCCTTTGGTTCAACATGTAATTATGTTGTCTGTCTTGTTTACAGTGGTCATTTAAATTAAGTATTTATTTTTATTCAGCTGTACATTTTTTCTGCATTGCCTAAAAAAGCACATTAACTCAAGCACTGCATTACCACTGGCAGAAAGATAACAACAACAATAAGAACAACAAAACATCTCCTTTGTATTTAATGCACATAGAAAAACAGGTCACGTCTGAATTCCGCTTACGTACCGTCTACCTCATGCGTAACAAGCTTGCGTCTGATGCAAATGAGATGTGACATCTTCAGTCTGATTATGAAAAGAAACTGCACAGAAAAAATCTCTCAAGGGTTATACATGAAAACTAGAACCAAGCTGCCTAATTAGGAAGCTTTGATGCACAGCATTTTCACTCGTTTAAAAATTAAACCGTTTTTTTCATTTTAACTTTGTATGCATTTATTTAGTAAATTTTCCCAATAAAAATTGAGATTATACCTGCCAACTTGGCATTGTTGGCAGGCATGTAAACTAAACAATTGTATTTCACTGAACTATTTTTTTTATTTTACCAGGTAAGGCCCACTGAGCTTGTACAGCTCTTTCAGAAGCGATCTGGCCACAAATGATAGCCCAATGAAGTGGCTTATCACCGTTGCGGTTTAAATTGGTGCCCTTCATGAGGTTGGCACACCCTTCAACAGTGGGATGGTGGGCTTGGGTTAGTAAAGATGAAAACAAATCTGTACAAAAAATAAAAGGACTCTAATGGAGATAATCTGTAACAGGTGACTAGCCTTATAGTGGTCACCCTAATGCCTACTGTGTGCATGAGGGAGTAAGTGTAGTGTGTGGTCTTCTGTATGTAGGGATTACGCTTCTGTGTGTTGTTATTTTAAAAGGCTCAGGCCCTGCAATTTCTTGCTCATGCCACTGCTGCCAAAAGGGCCTCCACTAGTGGGAGCTCTGGGGAGCCTCACGATAGGGTATTTTGGCCTGCGATTCCACGCTGGCCAGATGTGTCCCACACTTTACCCCACCACACGCGGTCTTGCCGATTGACTGACCCAGTTATATACTGCCGGGTGGACAGAGTTTGGGGGGGATTTAAGGAACGTGCGCCGTTGTTTCGGCTGCCATGCCGGGAGGTTGAACCGGCGACCGCTGGATTGTAAGTCTGGTGCGCTCGCCATTACGCTGTTGTGGCAGCAACTCACTTGTGTGTGTTTTTTATATGTTTTATAATTCTCCCTCAAGGTACACCCCGCTTCTAAGGGTGGCTTGCGACGTTGGCAGATGACATTGGGGGGGGGGATTGGTGGGGAAATAAACCGCAGAGCATTTATCACATGATAACGCTCTTTCGCACGTTTTCAATTTCCCAGTGAAACAATAGTGATATTCATCTCCAGATAGGCTGGGAATATGTAAAGGAGCGTCGCTATGGGAATGCAGTGAGATTTGTTGGCTTTTAAAACCTAGCACTGACTAAATATGCTGAAAACGACACTTCTTTTTACGTGATGGATACAGGTGAAATTGGATTTTGCAGCTTTCCTTCTGTGAGACGATGCTTACGCTTACAGTTACCAAAATTAGATGTTAAGTGCATTATTTAGATGCAGTTTTACATAACGTTATTACCTTGATCTTCTTTCGAACTTTCTCAGAATTGTCCTCCCCTTGGGCACTAAATGGCTGTATAATTGACCGATGTATTGTATGCCGTTGTAATTCACGCGGAGCAGAGCACATGAGATGATGATAATGATGCATGGGGGTTTGGCATAGTTGCTCCTCGCTGCTGGAATGACTGACCAGAGCAAAGTTGTTTTAGCACTCGTGGTCAAATGTGGTCCCGTACAACTGGTTCAGTTTTTGCCAATTTAAATAGAAACTGGCAGCCACTACATTGGCCACATCCGAAACTGTCATTTTGAACAAACTGAATCAGGCTTATTCGTTTGACACACAGTATCATATGTGTTCAGTAATTATGTTCTGAGAATAATCTGCTTCTGACATTCTACATTAGTAAATTGCTCGGCGCTCCGTAGTATCCAAGCAAATTCCAACAAATGCCTTTACAGGCACCCTTTGGTCAATGACTATATATTAATTTATGTGGCAATGCGCCACTGAGCGAGACCAGCATTGATTCAACCAGCCTGTGCATTACAGTCGACAGCTGTGTGAAGTTTGGTTCATCTTTGGAAAATGCAGTGTATACTCTTGATTCTTTCGGTACACGATCATCATCATCTGATGATCTAATGATCATCATCTGATGATCTAATGATCATCATCTGATGATCTAATGATCATCATCTGATGATCTAATGATCATCATCTGATGATCTAATGATCATCATCTGATGATCTAATGATCATCATCTGATGATCTAATGATCATCATCTGATGATCTAATGATCATCATCTGATGATCTAATGATCATCATCTGATGATCTAATGATCATCATCTGATGATCTAATGATCATCATCTGATCATCTAATGATCATCTAATGATCATCATCTGATCATCTAATGATCATCATCTGATCATCTAATGATCATCTAATGATCATCTAATGATCATCTAATGATCATCTAATGATCATCTAATGATCATCTAATGATCATCATCTGATGATCATCATCTGATGATCATCATCTGATGATCATCATCTGATGATCATCTGATGATCATCTGATCATCGACTGATCATCATCTGATGATCTAATGATCATCGACTGATCATCATCTGATGATCTGATGATGGACGCTTGTGTTGCGCCCGAAACGTCGTGATTTATTTTATTTTATACCTACGTGACTTTACCGAAAGAACCAAAGAGTATGGATTCCTGCAGTCACGAAAGCTTCAAATCAAGATTAAATGCAGTGTATTTCAGATCAGGTTAATATGTATAGTACAGTGCTTGGATTTAAACAGTAGGGCAGTGGAGGGATGGATAGAACAATACAATTTGGTGCAGCTCTTTGAGACGTTTTATACGTTATGAGCACAATGCAAGTTGTTGTTGTTGTAATTTGTACATTGGGGGCTGTGCAGTACTATTAAGGACTAAGAATAAACGAGCATTACTTAAATATTTTTTTCCCTTTCACTATTATTACATACGCAATCAAAAATAATTACACAAAACATTAATAGGACGCTGCCGCGGTGTTGCGTCGCAGACGATCACAATCACGATGACGATGATTGTTATCCTGAGCAATGTCGGAGGCACACGCACACAACCACAACAACTCCGTCAGGTGCCGAGGGGAGCACTGCATTCCCCCGGTGGTGTTGTGGGGCAGCGGCAGTTGCCGGGCACTTTCCAATGGTTGGTGGCCCTGCCGGTAT